TTTTATAAAGCCACAATAGTACATTGCTTGTGTGCAGGCAAACTTGTGTCTTTGCATTGCTACACTTACTCACTAGAAGTGCTTGTGGCATTGCACAATGCAACGCACCATGGGTTGGTATTCCATTGTGCAGCTCACCGCCCTCTAGCATGCTGACTTTCAGAACTTTTAGCAATGCATGGTGGGGAGAAATATGTCAGCTGGTATGACATGGAGTAAGGGCTCAACTTCCCAGCCTGCAACTCTCTCATGATGTCATCTGTCCCTGATTTTTCACAACTTTTTTCAAAAAAATCCCATGAATCTGTGGCCCTCCTCGCTGTCCACCATATTGGACAGAAGCATGGAGCCTGCGGAACTCAGCACTTTGTCAGGAGCACTGCAAGCACAGGATTCACAATTCCCTAGTATTTGCAGAGCCACAAGAAGAATCTGAAATCGGCAGAGAACAGGACAGGTGCACAGAAGACAAGTTGCTGTGGAACATAGCAAGAGCCAGTTCAACATGATTGGCATTACGGAGCAGCTGCAGATGATGAGATGTGCCCAGAAGCAACAAGAAACAGCCACTGACTGGTGGGGGTCGCATGATGATGCAGTTTTGGGATGAAGGCCAGATCGCGCATGTGCAATGCGCATCTTGCGCCGTTCATGCCTTTTGCCTCATGCACGCTATCCAGCTCCCACCAGTTCCTCTCAACTGCCCGTGGGTCGCAGATAGAGCTCTCCTCGTCTCATTGCCTAGTCAGAAAATGAAAAAAAAATTGTATATATTAGTAGTTATTAGCTGTAGTCGTTAGTAGTTCTAGTTGTAGTTTTCAAAAAAACCCTTCGGTTCTTTCTCTGGCCTTAAGCTGCTCAAAAAGAGGAAAGAATCCAATGGAGACAAGACATCTTCTAACAATGCCGGGACTCCCTGGTTTCAAAAAATGTGACTTTTGCTGTGAGGCAATGCCAGCCTCTGATGGCCATTCCTCATGCATTTGATGCCTGGGCGAGGCTCATACGCCTCAAAGGTGTGCCCATTGCTCAAAACTAACAGCCAGAGTGAGGCACGACAGAGAAATGCATCTACGCATGATTCTCTATGACAAGGCGCTCCAGCCCTCAGACGCCTCGCCCCTTCGATTTTGGATACTTCATCGTCCCAGAAGCATAGGGTGTCCTCTCCTGGAATGGCTCCGCTTAAAAAGAAAAGAGTCTTGCCGGTGCATTCCTTGCCTCCAGCCCCATTAGCCCAGTGAGCATGGGGGAGAAGCACAGCACGTCCTGCATCGCCTCCTCACACTCACGGGTGGCTCTGGCTGCAAAGCCAAAGAAAACGTTGGATACAGCACCGACAGTACTGAGGCCTATGATGGCACTGACACCCAAGCCGTCAGCAGCAGTCACGGCAATGGTGCAATCGGCGCCCCCCCAGACCACCGGTGCCGCAGCAGGACATGGCACCAGAAGTGCCGAGAAAACCCCACAGCACTAAGAGCCTGCTGCAGAATTGGGTAGGCACAGGAGCCCTACTCCTCTGTCGCCCTTTCCAACCTTTTTCCCTGGCACCATCCCTATCTCCACCGGCACCAAGATCACCGGTACCGCACATTGGTGCTCCTGTGAAGTTTGGGCATTCTCATTCCCAGCACTACAGATCACCACCACCACCATACATATCGGCACTGTATATGGAAGCTCAGCACCGCAACAGACATATCTCAATCTCGCCACCCCGTTCCTCTAAGGCCTCTGTATGCTACATTCATTCACTTCTGTGATCACCTCATACAGAATATGGAAGACACTACGCACACATGTACTCCTCTAGACACTCCTCACCTGGCCACTACTATTAGTCACAGGGAACGCACTTCACACCCCTGCTCCAGAAGGTGTTTCCCTTGCTACTGCAGATCTCTTATGCCCGTGCACTCCAATGCCCGTAACTGAGAGTGAGCACTCCTTGGCTCTGCTGCCATCACACATGCTGCCCCCTCAATTGCAACAATTGGAGCCAGAGGAGGGGCAATTGTCGAACACTGACGAGGAGCAGCCCGACACGTCGATGGACAAGCCTGTGATTCCGGGGGACGTGTCTCCCCCGACAACACCAAACAGTTTCAAGAACTGTTTAAAAGGATAGCGGCAAGTCAAGAAGTTCAATTGGCCGAGGTGAAGGATAAACAATATCGTCTCCTAAAAAATCTTCAGCCTACACAGCATGCCAAAATAGTGCTCCCTGTCGATGATGCTATTATGGAGGATGCGGAAGGCATTTGGCAAACTCCCACCTCTGCTCCCCCTACGAGTAAAAGAGCAGACAAGAAATATTTGAAACCATCAAAGGGATTGGACTTCTTATTCAACCAGCCTCTATTATTCAACCAAACTCTCTAGTGGTGGATGCCGCCCAACAGTGCTCAAGAGCCCCCCAGTATAAAGGCACTGTTTCCAACAAGGACAACAAAAGGCTGGACCTTTTCGGAAGGAAAGTATACTCCTCGGCCACCCTTTTGCTGCACATTGCCAGTTATGCAGCATTATTGTTGAATCATGATTTCCACAGTTATACTAAGCTGACAGTGCTAATGGACCACCTCCCTGACTCAAAGCACCCGATCTTCAAATCCATAGTGCAGAAAGGCTACGTGTCAGATAGGACAGGCCTCCAAATTGCCCTACGTGTAGCTGACACTGCTGGCAGATCCATGGCAACGGCAATAGCAATGAAAAGATCTTTATGGCTGGCTACAGTCTGCGAGAGTCCCTAGAGAGTTGCAAAGCAAAGTGGAGGACCCTCCCCTTGGACAAACAGAAGCTTTTCGCACAAAAGACAAATGAGGTCCTCCACTCTGGTAAGGACTCCCATACTGCCCTCAGAATGCTGGGAATGTACACGCCCCCATATCGTCAAAAGCCCTACTACCTATACCAAAGGCACTATGATTTCAACAGGCTGCAGCAACATCAATGCGGGTCTTGGAATCTGGACCTAGTCCTAGACACTCTTACTCAACCCCCCTTTTGAAACCTTGGCTACCACGTCCCTCTGAATGTTGACGCTCAAACTTGTCTTCCTTCTCACCATAACCTCAGCATGCAGAATTAGCGAGCATGCAGCACTAATATCAGCACCACCTTATGCAGTTTTCCATAAAGAACGGGTGATACTCCAGCCTCACCCAGTCTTTATTCCAAAAATATGCCCTACATTCCATATCAATGACCTTATTGTACTTCCCACTTTCCATCCGAAGCCTCATACTGCACCACCACAGGCAAGGAAAGATTCAGCTACCAGCTCAGCAGATGCCGAATGATACTTGAATGTGCTCTTGATAGATTGAAGGGACGTTGGTATTGCTTCTCACAAGATCGGCCCACTGGTTATAACTGTCTGTTGTGTCCTGCATAATAGCTGTGAAGCAAAGAAGGAAGAGTTGGTGCTGAGGGTGGAGGGCAGAGGTAAAACAGCTGTCTGCATGAGTTTGATTAGCTAGACTCAAGGGCTATTACAAGAGCATATGTGGCATTATACAGCTCAAAGAGGCTTTGAAAGAGCACTTTAACAGTGAACCACAGTAATGTTTTGGTTCTCTGCAATCTACCTACTCCTGCTAGGAATAGTGTGGTATTTGGTGTACCTCTGAATATAGCACTGTTAATGTACTGATTACACTTGTGGTGTTGCTATATATTTATGATCATCACACTGTCTCTGAGCCTCTGAGTTGTCTCACTCGCTAACCATTGGTTCTTTCAATGCCATCAGCTGTTCTGGAACATGTCTTTTAAGTAATCAAGAGGAATTGTTTTCCAAACAAAATGGATTAGTACAGAGTAAAGAAAACACTGCAAAAGAAATTTTGTGCATGTTAAAAGCAAATAACATGCTACAAGTGATCTCCATACATTGACCATGGCTCACCTCGTGCCAGCCCAAGTCCCCAGTATTAACTAGGTTGACATAAGCTGCCTTCCTCAGCCTCACTTTGTAGTGTAGACCACTCCTAAGACGAATGGTGATCTCCCCGGCGCTGTACAGGAAGCACTGATATACGAGCTCCTACAAATTCAAAGGGGAATGAAAATGGTTCACCGAACTACTTCAAGCATCTTTTATAAAAAGTGTTTTGTACTAGTTCAGTAAAATGTGACTGTTAAAACATTGATTTATGCCGTTTAGCCCATTGTGAAATGTCACTCTGCTTCATGAAAAATTAGGTTTTACCTGTAGTGGAAAACAAGGCAGCCTTTATTTGTATTAATGCAGAGCCTTAAATGTACATGTTGGTTATGAGTGTGTTGGAGAGCTGTTTGAAGAAAGACACACTTTCCCCGCATTTCACATTCTTCCTCTCCCACCCAAAAATTAAGTGCCCCACCTTTTAACTATTTCATCCTTGTCTGGATTCAAGTTAGAATTTCAAACTTTTATTTCTCTTTGTGAAGGCATAATGCTTTACTAAATGGACCAGAAAGCTTAAGAGTACCTAACTTTTTCTGGTGAGGATTTTTTATGGGCTGGGCTGGAAGTGATGTGTTAAACAAATCAGCAGCGGAAGAGGGGAAACTACCTACTATGGTTCTGATGCTGCAGTTTGTGGTGAACTGTTATGCCTGCGTCCAGCAAATTTCGCATTAAGGCTTACATGAGATGCACTTGCAAGATTCAGACTGTAAGGCTTGTCCTCCAAGGGGCAAACACTGTATGTATTTTCTAGGAGTACAATAACCAACATTCTTATTGAAACATTATTTTCATTGCCAATATGGGAGAAACACACAACATCAAAACTTCTTAAAGAGGAAGAATCCTCGAGGGGACGGGGGAATAAACAGCATAATCTGACTCTTTGTTTAGCTAGAAAAAGGAGTTCATTTAGTAAATTACAAAAAATTCTTAGTGAATAGTTTCCCTTTAAATCAAGTGTTTGTATAGAGGAGTTTTAATACACTAAGTAAATGAGGTTTATGCTGAGTATTTAACCTGATCTTTGTCATTTCTGTAGGATCACATGGTCCTTTGTTACCTTTACCAAGTCGGTACCGAATGGGATCTCGGGATACTCCGGAGCTTGTTGCTTACCCACTTCCCCAGGCTTCCTCCTCTTACATGCATGGTGGAAACCCTTCTGGCTCAGTTGTCATGGTCAGTGGGTTGCATCAGCTAAAGATGAACTGTTCGAGGGTCTTCAATCTGTTCTGCTTATATGGAAATATTGAAAAGGTAAAATGTCTTCCTAGGAACTTGGAAGTTGCTGCTTAAGCCATCTCTATCTTATGTTGGAATTTAAGGGCTGCAGACAGCTTATTTTCTAGATACCTTATTGTTGATACCAGAGAAAATTTTAAGTTGTCACACAACTTTCCTGCAGAACTTGCAAAATCGTTACAGTCCCGGTTTCCTTGATTTACATTGTCACTTATTCCTGAACTATTTTAGGTAAAATTTATGAAGACTATCCCAGGCACAGCATTGGTAGAAATGGGTGATGAGTATGCTGTAGAAAGAGCTGTCACACATCTCAACAATGTCAAGTTATTTGGGAAGAGGCTTAATGTCTGGTAAATATGAAATTTCTCACAATGGCAGTTAACCTTCCAGTGTGCTTTGACTGCAAATGTCAGTCCCCTGGTGCTATCTCAAATGGCTGACATATCTCAAAAAATTTCAAATAATTAAAAAAATTGGCCTAAGAATCTAAAGTGGTAAATAACAGTTACAAAGTGGGGTTTCAGAAAGACTGTTGGATATTCAAGATATAAATCTGTAAGCGACAAAACCGATGTACATGTAATATGTAACTTTTACCCTGTAGCACACTTTTGAACATACTTGACTTAATAGTCAAAGACAATAGCTAATGTCAACAGTCATTAATGAAAAAAAATATTTATTACCATCTGTCAGCCCTTCTCCGGACATTAAACAAGGGAATCAATACTTTTTTATATTGCTGCAAGTGACATGCATGTCATCTGTTCTTTTTGTCTCAAGACTGGCTGTGTTAAAACAATGATTCAGAATAGTGTTTTGTTTAACAACGTGTCTTTAAATCTCAGTGTGTCCAAGCAGCACTCAGTAGTTCCCAGTCAGATATTTGAGCTGGAGGATGGTACAAGTAGTTACAAGGATTTTGCCATGAGCAAGAATAATCGCTTCACCAGTGCTGGCCAGGCATCCAAGAACATAATCCAGCCACCTTCCTGTGTGCTGCATTATTATAACGTACCCCTGTGTGTGACCGAAGAAACCTTTGTAAAGGTAAGAAATCAAAACTTTGGTAACTTCTTATCTCTCCAGACTTCTCAAAGCTACTTCCGTGCTTTAGATGGGTAGTTGTGCAACTATTTAGCCATGATAGAAATGGCTTAGAGCAGCGGTTCCCAACCATCCGTCCGGGGATCGGTGGCAGGCTGTGAACCCCTGCCATCTGCCAGATCACACCCCCAAGTTAATGAGCCCCGGCCGCTGGGGAGCGCCATTCTCTGTAAGGTGTGTGCCTGCACGTGCACTAACAATTCTCCTCTCATGACTGCAGACTGCCAAATGTGCTGGAGCTGGAGCAGCCTTACCATGGCCCCAGTTCCAGCTCTGGCAGCAGCCATGTGGCCCGGCCTCCAGGGCTACGTGGCAGGCAGCTGCTTCATGTACTTTCCCTTGCAGGCAGCGTGTTCAGGGCCAGGGAGAGAACCTTCCCGGCCATGAGCTTCGCGAGGAGGATCAGGTTAGAGGCCCCAGGGAGCCTCGCTGGGTGTCGGCGATTTCTGCTCCTCCTTCAGCAGGGCAGGCTTCCCCCACAGGGTCTCTCCTGCTAGCTCCAACCTACATGTGTCCGGCCACTTCCCAACATCCTGTGCACTGCCCCTCGACGAAAGAGTCAAACCTGCTGCTTGCTCACAGGTTGAGCTGGGGCACGGTTAGTTTGTGCATGTCTTCTTTGCAGCTGTTGTCTCAATCTGGATGGATCGACCCCGCATTGATGTTGCTGCAGCCTGTTGAAATCATAGTGCCTTTGGTATAGGTAGTAGGGCTTTTGACGATCCGCCTGGCTGTCAGGTGGGTGCTGCGAGCCTGAGACACACGGGCTGAGTGACACTGCGCATCTAGGCCCCGACTGTTAATGGCCTGGGGAGGAACTCGCAAGCCACCAGCAGCATGTCCCTGCCCCTGTCGCCTGTGCTGCAGACACCGCCTATCCCTTGCATGAGTTGAGGGCTGGGCTGTCGTCAGGGCAGGGGTGAGATCTCTTCCTGGCCGCGGAGGAGCACTTTGCTGCGCAGCAGGAAGGCCCTACTACCTATACCAAAGGCACTATGATTTCAACAGGCTGCAGCAACATCAATGCGGGGTCGATCCATCCAGATTGAGACAACAGCTGCAAAGAAGACATGCACAAACTAACCGTGCCCCAGCTCAACCTGTGAGCAAGCAGCAGGTTTGACTCTTTCGTCGAGGGCTCCCTGTTGCACACAGTGGTCACTCTGCAACACCCTGTTGCACACAGTGGTCACTCTGCAACACCCTGTTGCACACAGTGGTCACTCTGCAACACCCTGTTGCACACAGTGGTCACTCTGCAACACCCTGTTGCACACAGTGGTCACTCTGCAACACCCTGTTGCACACAGTGGTCACTCTGCAACACCCTGTTGCACACAGTGGTCACTCTGCAACACCCTGTTGCACACAGTGGTCACTCTGCAACACCCTGTTGCACACAGTGGTCACTCTGCAACACCCTGTTGCACACGGTGGTCACTCTGCAACACCCTGTTGCACACGGTGGTCACTCTGCAACACCCTGTTGCACACGGTGGTCACTCTGCAACACCCTGTTGCACACGGTGGTCACTCTGCAACACCCTGTTGCACACGGTGGTCACCCTGCAACACCCAGTCTCTCACAGTGGTCACCCTGTAACACTTTTCACCATCACCTGAAGCCGTATTACCATCAGTGGACAACTATAACCTCCAGTCGTTGGGTTCTGGAGATTGTCATCTGGCTTTGCGATACCATTCCTGTCTCTACCTCCCACTACCCCCACCCACTCCATCTCACTTCAGGGACCCCTCTCATGAGACCGTGCTCAAACAAGAGGTCTACCGCCTCCTATCTATTGGGGCAGTAGAGTGAGTACAGGATGAGTTCAGGGAAAAGGATTTTTATTTTTGATACTTCCTCACACAGAAGATGTTGGGAGGCTGGAGACCCATACTTGACCTTTGGAACCTAAATTGGCACTTAAGAAAACAATGTTTCAAAATGATGACTCTTGCTGGCTTTAGACCACAGAGACTGGTTCACAGCCGTCAACCTCCAGGATGTGTACTTCCACATTACTATTCATCCGGCACATAGACAATTCCTTCGCTTTATAATAGGTGAAGAACATTTTCAGTATCTGGTGCTGCCCTTCAGCCTCTCATGGGCACCCAGGATATTCTCAAAGACCCTGGCAATCATAGCAGCATATTTATGATGCCAGGGGGTTATAATCTTTTCCCACCTTGATGACTGCCTTATAAAAGGGCATTCCTTTGCCAAAGCACAACACATGTTGACGATATCCAGACAGACTCATTTCCTAGGACTAATCGTCAATGAACAAAAATCCATATCTGTTTCAGTCCAGAGCCTAGAATTTATAGGGGCGTGATGCATACTTACAGTAATACATGCATACTTGCCAACTCAAAGATTCCAAATGATCTGGGATCTCATTTCCACACTCGTTACCAGCCTGACAGTTACAGTACTCACCTGCCTACAGTTAATGGGCCATATGGCAGCTTCAACCTACGTAGTCTATCATGCCAGATTTCATTTCTGCTGCCTACAACATTGGTTGGCGTCGGTGTACAGCCCCACAAGACACAAAGTCACCAAGATGGTGTCTCCTCCTTCCAAAGTTTGCACGTCCCTCCACTGGTGGACAGATCCATGCAATCTCCTAGCAGGAGTTCCTTTTCACTTTGACACAAATTACAATGGATGCCTTCCATATTGGTTGGGGAGCCTATCACATAAATCTCCTTCAGCTCAGGGCGATCTTCAAATCCTGCAGGCATTTCCAGAAATATATTCGCAGAATGACTGCCTGAATGCTCACAGACAACATTGCCACAATGTATTATATAAACCATCAAGGTGGGGCACGCTCTCAGTCCCTTTGCGCAGAGGCTGTCCGTCTCTAGAATTGGTATATTCGCAACAAGATCATGTTAGTAGTGTCATACTTGCCTGGCATGGGCAATGTAGTTGTGGATTCCCTGAGCAGACACTTTGTGCCCAACCACGAATGGGAGATCAAATCAGTACTCCACCGCATACTTCATCGTTGGGGTCTCCTGACCACAAATGGGAGATCAGATCAGAGGTACTCCACCGCATATTTCATCATTGGGGTCTCCCTCAGATCTCTTTGCCACAAGTCGGAACGCAAAATGCCGACAATACTGCTCCAGAGCGCGATCGGTCAGGGATCTCTAGGGGATGCCTCCCTTCTCCATGGGGCGGCCCCCTTCTGTACTCTTTTTCCCTCTACCGTTCTCATACCCAGGATTCTGGACGAGATCAAGTCAGATGGGGCCGTGTTGATTCTAATAGCCCCTGCCTGGGCACAACAGACGAGGTTCCCATTTCTTCTCAGAATGTCCCTTCGGCCACCATAGACCCTTCCTGATCTCCCAGACTTGTTATACCAGGACTACAGCCGTCTTTTGCACCCAGAACTGTGCACTCTTCACCTCACTGCCTGGTTCCTAACTGGTTCAACCCGTCCAACGATCTCTGCTCAGATCAAGTCAAGGAGGCCCTAATGAACAGCAGATGAAACACCACTCAGACCACCTACCAATCTAAGTGGAAGCGGTTCACACTGTGGTGCTCTACGAACGGGATCATTCCTGAGAGCGCTTCTATTCACCACATCCTTGATTACATTTTCTCTGGAAAAAAATGGGCCTTGTGATTGCTTCGCTCAGGGTGCCACTGTACAGATGGTACTTTGGTTTTCACTCATCTGACTACAAGAAGGTAGAACCTTAATCCACCTTGTAGACCCCCTCCTCCATCTTGGAATCTGGACCTAGTCCTAGACACTCTTACTCAACCCCCCTTTTGAAACCTTGGCTACCACGTCCCTCTGAATGTTGACGCTCAAACTTGTCTTCCTTCTCACCATAACCTCAGCATGCAGAATTAGCGAGCATGCAGCACTAATATCAGCACCACCTTATGCAGTTTTCCATAAAGAACGGGTGATACTCCAGCCTCACCCAGTCTTTATTCCAAAAATATGCCCTACATTCCATATCAATGACCTTATTGTACTTCCCACTTTCCATCCGAAGCCTCATACTGCACCACCACAGGCAAGGAAAGATTCAGCTACCAGCTCAGCAGATGCCGAATGATACTTGAATGTGCTCTTGATAGATTGAAGGGACGTTGGTATTGCTTCTCACAAGATCGGCCCACTGGTTATAACTGTCTGTTGTGTCCTGCATAATAGCTGTGAAGCAAAGAAGGAAGAGTTGGTGCTGAGGGTGGAGGGCAGAGGTAAAACAGCTGTCTGCATGAGTTTGATTAGCTAGACTCAAGGGCTATTACAAGAGCATATGTGGCATTATACAGCTCAAAGAGGCTTTGAAAGAGCACTTTAACAGTGAACCACAGTAATGTTTTGGTTCTCTGCAATCTACCTACTCCTGCTAGGAATAGTGTGGTATTTGGTGTACCTCTGAATATAGCACTGTTAATGTACTGATTACACTTGTGGTGTTGCTATATATTTATGATCATCACACTGTCTCTGAGCCTCTGAGTTGTCTCACTCGCTAACCATTGGTTCTTTCAATGCCATCAGCTGTTCTGGAACATGTCTTTTAAGTAATCAAGAGGAATTGTTTTCCAAACAAAATGGATTAGTACAGAGTAAAGAAAACACTGCAAAAGAAATTTTGTGCATGTTAAAAGCAAATAACATGCTACAAGTGATCTCCATACATTGACCATGGCTCACCTCGTGCCAGCCCAAGTCCCCAGTATTAACTAGGTTGACATAAGCTGCCTTCCTCAGCCTCACTTTGTAGTGTAGACCACTCCTAAGACGAATGGTGATCTCCCCGGCGCTGTACAGGAAGCACTGATATACGAGCTCCTACAAATTCAAAGGGGAATGAAAATGGTTCACCGAACTACTTCAAGCATCTTTTATAAAAAGTGTTTTGTACTAGTTCAGTAAAATGTGACTGTTAAAACATTGATTTATGCCGTTTAGCCCATTGTGAAATGTCACTCTGCTTCATGAAAAATTAGGTTTTACCTGTAGTGGAAAACAAGGCAGCCTTTATTTGTATTAATGCAGAGCCTTAAATGTACATGTTGGTTATGAGTGTGTTGGAGAGCTGTTTGAAGAAAGACACACTTTCCCCGCATTTCACATTCTTCCTCTCCCACCCAAAAATTAAGTGCCCCACCTTTTAACTATTTCATCCTTGTCTGGATTCAAGTTAGAATTTCAAACTTTTATTTCTCTTTGTGAAGGCATAATGCTTTACTAAATGGACCAGAAAGCTTAAGAGTACCTAACTTTTTCTGGTGAGGATTTTTTATGGGCTGGGCTGGAAGTGATGTGTTAAACAAATCAGCAGCGGAAGAGGGGAAACTACCTACTATGGTTCTGATGCTGCAGTTTGTGGTGAACTGTTATGCCTGCGTCCAGCAAATTTCGCATTAAGGCTTACATGAGATGCACTTGCAAGATTCAGACTGTAAGGCTTGTCCTCCAAGGGGCAAACACTGTATGTATTTTCTAGGAGTACAATAACCAACATTCTTATTGAAACATTATTTTCATTGCCAATATGGGAGAAACACACAACATCAAAACTTCTTAAAGAGGAAGAATCCTCGAGGGGACGGGGGAATAAACAGCATAATCTGACTCTTTGTTTAGCTAGAAAAAGGAGTTCATTTAGTAAATTACAAAAAATTCTTAGTGAATAGTTTCCCTTTAAATCAAGTGTTTGTATAGAGGAGTTTTAATACACTAAGTAAATGAGGTTTATGCTGAGTATTTAACCTGATCTTTGTCATTTCTGTAGGATCACATGGTCCTTTGTTACCTTTACCAAGTCGGTACCGAATGGGATCTCGGGATACTCCGGAGCTTGTTGCTTACCCACTTCCCCAGGCTTCCTCCTCTTACATGCATGGTGGAAACCCTTCTGGCTCAGTTGTCATGGTCAGTGGGTTGCATCAGCTAAAGATGAACTGTTCGAGGGTCTTCAATCTGTTCTGCTTATATGGAAATATTGAAAAGGTAAAATGTCTTCCTAGGAACTTGGAAGTTGCTGCTTAAGCCATCTCTATCTTATGTTGGAATTTAAGGGCTGCAGACAGCTTATTTTCTAGATACCTTATTGTTGATACCAGAGAAAATTTTAAGTTGTCACACAACTTTCCTGCAGAACTTGCAAAATCGTTACAGTCCCGGTTTCCTTGATTTACATTGTCACTTATTCCTGAACTATTTTAGGTAAAATTTATGAAGACTATCCCAGGCACAGCATTGGTAGAAATGGGTGATGAGTATGCTGTAGAAAGAGCTGTCACACATCTCAACAATGTCAAGTTATTTGGGAAGAGGCTTAATGTCTGGTAAATATGAAATTTCTCACAATGGCAGTTAACCTTCCAGTGTGCTTTGACTGCAAATGTCAGTCCCCTGGTGCTATCTCAAATGGCTGACATATCTCAAAAAATTTCAAATAATTAAAAAAATTGGCCTAAGAATCTAAAGTGGTAAATAACAGTTACAAAGTGGGGTTTCAGAAAGACTGTTGGATATTCAAGATATAAATCTGTAAGCGACAAAACCGATGTACATGTAATATGTAACTTTTACCCTGTAGCACACTTTTGAACATACTTGACTTAATAGTCAAAGACAATAGCTAATGTCAACAGTCATTAATGAAAAAAAATATTTATTACCATCTGTCAGCCCTTCTCCGGACATTAAACAAGGGAATCAATACTTTTTTATATTGCTGCAAGTGACATGCATGTCATCTGTTCTTTTTGTCTCAAGACTGGCTGTGTTAAAACAATGATTCAGAATAGTGTTTTGTTTAACAACGTGTCTTTAAATCTCAGTGTGTCCAAGCAGCACTCAGTAGTTCCCAGTCAGATATTTGAGCTGGAGGATGGTACAAGTAGTTACAAGGATTTTGCCATGAGCAAGAATAATCGCTTCACCAGTGCTGGCCAGGCATCCAAGAACATAATCCAGCCACCTTCCTGTGTGCTGCATTATTATAACGTACCCCTGTGTGTGACCGAAGAAACCTTTGTAAAGGTAAGAAATCAAAACTTTGGTAACTTCTTATCTCTCCAGACTTCTCAAAGCTACTTCCGTGCTTTAGATGGGTAGTTGTGCAACTATTTAGCCATGATAGAAATGGCTTAGAGCAGCGGTTCCCAACCATCCGTCCGGGGATCGGTGGCAGGCTGTGAACCCCTGCCATCTGCCAGATCACACCCCCAAGTTAATGAGCCCCGGCTGCTGGGGAGCGCCATTCTCTGTAAGGTGTGTGCCTGCACGTGCACTAACAATTCTCCTCTCATGACTGCAGACTGCCAAATGTGCTGGAGCTGGAGCAGCCTTACCATGGCCCCAGTTCCAGCTCTGGCAGCAGCCATGTGGCCCGGCCTCCAGGGCTACGTGGCAGGCAGCTGCTTCATGTACTTTCCCTTGCAGGCAGCGTGTTCAGGGCCAGGGAGAGAACCTTCCCGGCCATGAGCTTCGCGAGGAGGATCAGGTTAGAGGCCCCAGGGAGCCTCGCTGGGTGTCGGCGATTTCTGCTCCTCCTTCAGCAGGGCAGGCTTCCCCCACAGGGTCTCTCCTGCTAGCTCCAACCTACATGTGTCCGGCCACTTCCCAACATCCTGTGCACTGCAGCCTGCGGTCAGAGTTGGGAGGGGGTGTCAGTCTCAACCCGCCTGGCTGTCAGGTGGGTGCTGCGAGCCTGAGACACACGGGCTGAGTGACACTGCGCATCTAGGCCCCGACTGTTAATGGCCTGGGGAGGAACTCGCAAGCCACCAGCAGCATGTCCCTGCCCCTGTCGCCCGTG